CCCCAAAACCCCAAAACCCCAAAACCCCAAAACCCCAAAACCCCAAAACCCCAATAGCCTATAAAAGCATAGAAGACAACAATTATTAATAATCTATTTTATATATTATAATCCAACTGCACCAAACCAAATGGCTGATAATAACTCATTTACCCCTCATCCAAACTACCAAGGAGCTTTTACCCCGGTACAAATATCGAAGGAGGCTAAATCTTTGAACATGTTCTTCACGAACATCTATAACGTGAATGTACTAATTCAAAACGTGCTGAATCAAGAACAAAGGTTAAATTTCTTATACCAAGGAGACCAGCCTGGTCAATTAAATTTACCCCAAATTACACCATCAGGTCCTACATTAGGCCAGGAAGATGGACTAAAGGTTCCCAACCAGGGTTCTGAAGAGGTAAGCATACTTTACAGATCGGACTGAAATTAAGGCTATAGCCTTCATGATAGTTTAGCAAGATTATTATTAACCCTCTTTGGGCTGTTCGAATTCATCCTAATCTGGTTTTATAGGACAATACTTCTACAAGTGAAGGAAAGATTGTTACAAAGGACTCTCAAGGCATCATTAATCAAGGGGATAGTCAGGCTCAAAATTCCGACTCTAGTAAGACTACCCTTGAGGAAAAGAAGTCTACTGAAACAGGTGTTGCTCCTATAATGGCTTGGAACTTAAAGATTGACAGCAACTGTAAATCTCAAAATTTGGACCCGACTACTTTACTCTCCAATCTGACTTCTTGTGAATGTCCAAATTTTGGTGCCAGCAACACCAAACAAGAAATCAAGAAAATTCCCAAAACTGAGAGAAGAACAGTTGATGCTGGAAAAGATGGCAATATGCTTCTCAAGATGCAACGATTCTATCAAGCCTTCTACATGAAAATTTCCAAAGTCCTTCCTAAGGGCATGAATTCGAAGAAACAGATTATGGAGGCGATGTGTGATAAACTGAGGAAAACTACATTGCTATCTGAGGTTGAGAAGGAAGATCTCCTCCTACACCTTGGCGCAATTATTTACCCATCAAAAGCTTATCTTAAAAACAAAGCTGCTTTTATGAGTTCTACAAAATCAAGTGGCAAAGAAGGTGAACTTAAGGCAAAGAAGGCCATTTTCGACTTCCACGATACTTTATTAAACTTCTCTGCTGAAAAATTAGGGAAGTTGCTATCTCAGAGCACCTTTGACAAACTCTACGGTGCATTTTTGGATAACCTCAATAAATCGATCAAGAAGATATCTGAGTCTTCTAAGTCAGAAGAGACTGTGTCGAAATTAACGAATAAAATTTCAGGTTTATAATCCCAATCCAGATCTACTTATAGATCATTTTTAATTTAACTAATAATTTATCAATCAAAATGACTCGAAGCGGGGTTTTGGGGTTTTGGGGTTTTGGGGTTTTGGGGTTTTGGGG